AAACCTGGTGGGCAGATGTCTACAAGAGGTACTCCTCCTTCTACGCCCAACCAGGTCTCAGTGATACCCGCCAGGTCCGCACCCCCCTCTAAAATAAGATCTTGTATGAGGGGGGCCTTATTTACCATGGACCTGGCATTACATAACAACAGCCGATGGTCCCGGGCCGGGGGATCTAAGTCTCCTGGAGGCCGAGTAGGGACCTGAGGACCGGAGCACCCACAAGCTTGTATGATATAGTTGCCATAATGGAAACATGGTGGGACGAAACCCACAAATGGAACACACAGCTAGAGGGATTTAAATTATTTAAAAGAAACAGATCAAATAAAAGAGAAAGTGGAGTTGCTCTATTTGTAAGAAATAACTACATCTCTACAGAAATAGAGCACAACAATGATGAAAATTGTCTTGAATGCATTTGAGTCAATATAAAAGGGGGAAAAACAACATTACCATAGGTGTATACTAAAGGCCACCCAACCAAACACAGGAAATAGATGAACTTTTTGCTAGTCAGCTAACTAAGGTATGTAGGAAGCACATCACAATAGTAATGGGGGACTTTAACTACCCTGACATCAACTGGGAGACAAACTCTGCACCAAGTGGAAGATCAAACAGATTCCTGAAAAACCTAGCAGACAACTTTGGCTCCCAAAACGTAAAGAAGGGAACTAGGGGATTAGCCATTTTGGACCTAATTCTCACTAACAGAGATGAAATGATAGATGTTGAACCATAGGAACCTTGGGAGGAAGTGATCATTCAATATTGGAATTCAACATTATGGAAGCACAAGCAATAAAACACAGTCAAACTAGAGTCTTGGACTTCAAGAGAGCTAATTTCAATAAACTTAGAGAGGGTTTGGGAAGAATTCCATGGATGAGAATCCTCCAGGGGAAAACAACTCAAGAAGCTTGGGAAATTTTGAAAAGTGAGATAATAAAGGCAAAGTCTAGCACAATACCAACAAAGAGGAAAAATAACAGCTCTCAAAAGAAACTAGCATGGCTGCATAAAGAACACTCTGATCAATTGAAAGATAAAAAGGACAAGTATAGAAAGTGGAAAGAGGGACACATAACTAAATCAGAATATCAACAAATAGCC